AAAAGCTTGGGCGAAGGCAGGAGCACATGTATCAGCAATCATTGCACAGGTGCTGTGAAACATGTAGCGCACAACGAACGAGGGGGGCATACGCACACCCACCCACCCACACGCAGACACACACACGCACAAACAGCACAAACAGCACAAACAGCACAAACAGCACAAACAGCACAAACAGCGCAAACAGCACAAACAGCACAAACAGCACAAACAGGCTGGCAACTCTCCGCAAAAATCTAACTGAATTTGCGTACGAATTCATGAACCGGTTGCTGTCCGAATTTCAAGAATATCCTGTTGGCAGCCACAAGAATGTGGTCTTCTTTTGGTGTCCGTTCAAAACGAACCCAAAAAGGGTATCCTCAAAAAAGAGGCACAGACATGTTTCACACCCCATTTGCTTCCCGCCATTCCGATTCAATCCCAGCCTGCCATTGGCATGGAAACCAGCCCATCTCACCGTTGGGCATCCAACCCATCACCTGCGATCTTTGGGTGTGAACTGTGCTAGGGCACTCGATCCTCTTTTGCTACTTGGGAGACGAAGAGCTGAGCTCTCACTGCTTAGATAGGATTCAAGCCATTTCAGTGCAAGCATTGGCATTCAGGCCTTGCCCTGCCGGCGTGCCTGAAAAAATGGCAAGGCTCTACGCTCCAAAACTGTCCCTGCAGCGCTGCATCTTTCTGGTGGGTCTGCACTCTGCTTGTTTCCAGCATTAAAACATGGCAAGGCTACACTCCAAAACTCCCCAGGCCGCCCCTGTCTCCAATAAGTAAGCCATGTCTAGCCTTTTACACCCGGGGCGTGGACGTGTTCGCGCCTGGAAGCCGCCATATTGCGGCCACATGGGGCAGTACCCCATGGAAGGGCCCATCCACTGAGTCATGTACGCGTTGCCGTCGCCTGGCCGAGCGAAACGCGCCGCGGACTGCGCTGGCAAAGCACCGCGAAGAGACCTGCCTGGCCTTTTGTCGGATGCCAAGGACTTTTCAAGCAAGATGACCACCAATTGGTAGAATTGACCATCTTTGACAACATCTAGTGCACCGATTTCTACCAAAAAAAGCTGACCAAGGATGCCAACGAAATACAATACAAAACCCAATGATGTGTCAGAAGTTGCCGCCACCACCCAGCCAGTCCAAAGAGAAACAAAACCAGTCCCGCGAACAAGCGCAAACATGACCCCAGGCGTGCAGAAAAAGGGTGTCTCTACGCCGCCGACGGGCGGTAAGGCTCGCGCCTTCATCCATGGACCAAGAGCTTTCAGTACGCGCCCAGCCATCCCTCGGATGGAACGAACGATGGATTCCAAAGGAACAGCATTGGGCACTCAAAGGCAGACCTGGCAGTCCGGCTTCGTGGGGAAAAAACACAATCCATGTTTGCGTTTGTTCAATGCAATTCTGTATCTTGTATTAATAGCCGCTATAGCCGCTATCAAAGTTGAAAACTCCCGACAATTCTGATCAAAGAATCTTGATAGGGGACTGTAGCCATTCACAAGCACTGGGCATTGGTGCTGCTTTCAATGCTTGTCCTGCTAGGCCCCACTCCAAGAAGCAGCCTTCTTGTTGATTCACTCTGGACATGTGCGCCCAGGAAACCAAAACACCCCTCAGCCAAGCGGCTCCATAGACTCCGACGCACTCAGTCCTTCTCATTCAGACTCTGAGATGCGGCGATTGCAGGTGCTCACATGGACGTCTGTGTTTTCGGTTGGTACCCTTTTTGGGGCCGGTGTGTATTCGGAAACCAAGGGAAACCGGCCATTTTGGGGGGCCCCCCCTAGTTTGAGACAAGCGTTGCCTGCGCCGGACATGTTTTCTTGCTCAATATTGACCAGGAGCGGAAAAGAATCAGAGCAATGATCAAACTACAGCAATGCGTCTGGCACAAAACTCTCCGCTGCGAGTCCTCCATCCTGATTCCGCATCTCGTCTTGGCTATGAGCGAACCTGGTAGCTACAAAAGCCTCCCAAATTAGCTACTCGCGCATGCGAGGGCTCGAAACTTCATCGCATGAGGCAAGCCCGAAACTCCGTCTGGCAATCCGGTGCACTCCATGTCGGCTCTGCAACCATTAGACCATATCAAACCGGGACCAACCTCTTCAACGTGGGCAATGGAACGAAGGGATTCCTTTGACGAAAAGACAAGACCGGACCATCAGAGACAAACTCGAGCAAAGGGAAACAAACGCGTTCATCCTCAAACCACTCCGGGGTCTTCCAGATAAAGATTTGATCTTATGAATCGGGCATTTTGGGGCTCCCCCGCGCCCCCCAAAACCCTGATTAAATCAGGCATCGTGGGAAGCTCAGCCCCTGAAAAAAAGGCGAGTCCCGCTAGTATAGCTAGCTTTCGTGTGAACTCACTGCAATGGCACGCATGTCGCTTGACGCATCGCTTGACGTGTTGCAGTCAAGCCACCGACAGCCAGGCCCTTCCTGCGGTTTGCCGGGGTTTCCCGACCGAAAGTCACCAAGGACTGCACAGGGGCCGGGGAAATGGCACAAATGGCTGGGAGGTCGAGTCAACCTGGGCCCGAGTAGTTGCATCTGGTACCTGTCACCACGAAATCCAGGGTGCAATGATAGATTGCCGATTTGGAGCCTTATGTAGTGGCAATTGGAGTCTCGAACAACCGGAAAAGAAACCAAATCCGCTCTCCAACTTCCACCTTCCTGGATTTCCCTGGATCCGGCCATGCGTTGAGGTTCCGTACGCAGACTAGGTGCCCAGCAGTCCTCCCAATTCCCAACACAGCTTTACCCCTTCTCCCATGAAGTGGATGTGCGGGGCCCTTGCAAGAGGGTCTTCCAAACCCCTGCACTTCCATTGCAACCAGTGTCAAGCGGCACAAACCAAATCGGAAGTCACTTGCGCGACGCCGTGTCCGCGAGCCGTGGCTTCACCTGTCCCGCGCCTTGCACTTGCCCGTCTTCGCGTAGCTGCGGCCTCGGCTCGTAAGCAAGGCCTGAAGTTTTGCAGGGGCCTCGTTTTGGCAAGCGGGTTTCATCCGTTCATCGAATTCGCGGTTAAGAATGCACTGGCCAGATGAGCTTCCTATTTTTCAATTCGACATCTGCCGATTAGACCGTCGCAACGGGCTCAATCAAATGCCCGGCACATGATCAAATGCCCGGCACATGCTGGGCTTGCTCAACCGCGCATGACTCGCCGGTGTTAAAAACACACACAAAAAAGGAGAAGCGCCCCCGCCCGCCCCCCTTTCCCGATCACACCTCTTCAAAGGTCAATTCTGAGGTCGCCACAAATGCGTGTCCTGTAGAGGTCCGGCTTCTCGCGGAGCTGCGACTCCTCGTGCGCGAAAAAGCAGTCTTCGCCACCTCAGCGCCAGCCCAGTTCCCAGGCTTCGTCCCATGAGAACTCTGTGGCGCACATGAAGGTACCAAAATGGCATGGTAAATGGAACCAAAGACTAAAACCTGCGGTTTGCCCTAGCTCTTGAATTTTGAGCCACACCCATTTGGTTTTCCAAGGGCAACCGGTTCTGTTTAGGTCTCCAATTGGGGTTTGGCGCCCGGTGGTTTGGAGGCTAGGGGATGCTTTCCCATCTCCCCTCTGCAATGACCAGGCTCCAAAAGTTCTATAAGCTGGGGTTCAACAATTCTACCACCAATTCAAACTACTAGCTAACTGATATTTCATAGAAGTTTATCTCGGGGAAACAAAATGAATTCTGCTTGCCAGGCGGCGCTCGCAGCGCCCAGCCAAGTGGAAGCGGCACATGCTCGTGTAGCGGAAGGTCTCCTGTCAAGAAAAAAGGCACGCACACCACGAAGTGTCGCGGAGTGGCGGTTTCCCTTGGGCATCAAGTTCAATTAGGACCCCTTGTGGACATCAAGCTGCAGCAGATCTATATCCACCAGTTAGCGGAATTGTTCCGATTAAATGTCATAGCCAGTTCTTGTTTCACTCACGAACCTCGACACAACTACTGCTTATGACTTCAACACAAAACGCGATATAAAAGACCGAACCGCTGTCTGCGCCAAGCAGATTGCATTGTCAAATATTTCCGAAAGTCGCAGCCCAGCTGAACTTGTCTGTCTGGTCTTTCTCAAATTTTAGAAAAATCAAACCCTCAACCCAGCAAACATCGACATTACCCGCCTGCTTGGGCTGCTGCTGCATGTTTGGCGCACCTCATCAGAACGATCAGAACGACTGTGGCTTCGACATCGAGAGGAGCCCAGCCCTTTGGAGGAGCCGCTTGTTGACATCCAAACTGCAAAGCCATCCGAAACGTGCTCAGCAAGGAAGGATTCCGACACAAATCCCATCACACTCTGCCACAGAAACAAAGCTCCGCGCATCTTGAAACTAGTTGAAGCCCACTTTGGAGTTTCCTGTGCCAGCAACTCTGAGGCCGCCGCAGATTGGAGAACGTGAAAAATGTGAAGCGCACAAAGCGTGGAGCTGTGTGGGAGACACAAAGCTGAATTGGCTGCGCAGTGCACGCAATTTCGTCCGTCAAGTTGCAAGAGGCCTTCAAGTCTGAGATCAAACTGGATGCAAACTTCTGACGTCTGAACTGCCTCAGCCACCTCAGGTCGAACAAACAAACATGGTTGAAACGCGATCACAAACAGCTTTACTGTTTGCTTCGTTGGATTCATCTAGGATGACTCGCCTGCATGCAATTGGCCTCGCTGCCATTCTCAAGCCATTGGTGGACATGTGATTCTGCCCGATTCAATGGACACCTTGAACAGGAAAAAACGGGGCCATCTCTGCTTCACTTGTCGAGGGGTTCTTTCCAGGAGTCCTTCTTAGCCAACCCAGAGGAAAAGCGCCCGGTCTGAACAAAGGCAGGGGACCAAGACCAAGCAAAGGGAGAGATGGCTTGGACAAGGCATCAAGCCGTCCTACCCAGTCCAGGGTTTGTTTTCCCTTGAAAAGGGTTTTTACACCAGGGCAGTGGAAAAGGCAAACCATGTCCCAGTCGATGTCGAAATGTCCCCCCCACCTGTGAGAGCGGTTGGCCGCTCCGAGAGCCCCAGACACGGGGCGCTTCCTGTCGAAATGCGACGAAAGGGCTTGGAGAGAAAACAAGTTTGTATGCTGGGCGGGTCTCTTTTCTTTGGAGGGTACTCTGGGCGCCCCTATTTTTTTTGGGGGGGGGGGAGATTGACGTAAAGGGCGACCAAAGGGAAGACCTGCGGTTTCAACCGCTGGTTTCGGCTGGATTGGTCTGACTGCTTTGAGCCAGCGACCTGGCTCTGGAAAAGAAACCTCTGAATATTTTGAATGGAGGGTGTAAGCTTGTGGATCATTTCCAAGCGACCCGAACCTGTTGCCATATGAGGCGTCAAAAAGCCACGCCACGTATCCTTGCAAAGCCGTAGGCGTCGGAACTGCTGCTTTCCTCCTGAGTGCGCTCCCAAACCAAAAAAGGCTCCAGGCGCGTCCAAAATGAGGATTCCCTGCTCCAACCTCTAACCTATGGTGCCTTTTGTTTGGGGGGGATATCTCCGTCTTTTTGTTGATCTCTTTTGTCCCCGAAACACTCTCCCCCCCCCCCCCCTCGGTCGTTTCAGCGGGTCAAGGCATGAATGAGCGCCGGGCATGCATGGAGCGATCCACGGAAAGGGAGCGACTTCGACGCCTGGGCGTGCAGAGGCGTCCAAAAAGCCTCCCTCTCCGCTGGAGAAGCAAAAGGGAAAACGGCACCCATTCTTTGGGTTCAAAATGGATGGCAAAAAATGAAAGGGGAGGCCCTTCTCAGGATTGATCCTTCGCGGGTTTTGTTTGAACCCAAAAAACGCGTCAGAGTGGTGACTCTGAGTGTTGGTTCAAACACTTTTTGGGACCCAAACGGCTGGAAGTGGAGCCGGAGACCCGGCGGCAGTTGGCGCCTGTTTTTTGCTCGTCGCATACGGCCACCGCCGCAAAACCCATCTGCGAAGCTCGTTGCTTGGCTCTCCTGGGCGACGAACGGTCCTTTCGTGGAGCGCCAAAGCGGGAGAACGCCGTTTTCCAGCAGCTGGGAATTCGCTGCTACAGAAGCCTTGGAGCCAAAAAAAGAAGAGTCCACCATGCTTGGCGCAACGGCCATTGAGGCAGCTGACTCTTGCGGCTTCTGTAGCTATCCTTTCAGCCTATGTACAGCAGCCACGAAGGCTATGCCAATGAGGTCCTCGATTCAAATGGAGTTGCGGCGCGGAAAGCAAACGCCCGAAATGCAAGTTGAAGGCTTTGACACACAGGAGGACCCAGAACTGGCCAGGCACTTGGGTGTGGACGCCGAAAATGAGCAGTTTCCTGTTGGTTTGTCTTTAAAGCAAACCCAACAAGGGCACCCTGAAAAAAAAGCCACACCCACTTCAACAATGGATCTTTGGGAGAGCGGGAGAGGTTGGCTGCACCCCGTTGAGTCAATGAGAATTCAGGTTGGCTGGGAAGCCTCAGCAAAGATGGGGGATTTCTAACACACGGTTGCGGGTGCTCATTCTCCTGAACCCCTTCTGCTCTCGGCCGCGTTCACCCTCAGTAGGGCATAAGCTCCATGTCCCAGGCACGGTCACTCCTCAGCGGGCAAACCCTCTGCGTTCTGGCACACCACGCTTTCAAGCTGGCTCCAATCGAGCCACGGACACTACTTGTTCAATAGGCTGTTTAAAAGCTACAGTACCTGGGTGTGTGTGTTTTTTTTGAGGGCACCTTTTTTGGGGCGGTCTAAAAGAAAACAAGGGACCGACTTTGGGGTTCCTATTTTAGGACACAAACATTTCTGTTGAGAGCAAGTTGCCTTCACCTCGCCAGAACCGTCTCACGCTTTCTTCCCAGCACATGGTGAGGGTGGGTTGGAAGAAAGTCCTTTGAGGGGTGGGGGTTGGGAACTTCCGCATTCAAATGCGCAACGTTGGAACACAGGTCTGGAGAATTCCAGCCGTTTCAATCGCCACGTTCATCATGCCCCTTTTTGCAGAACGATTCAAGCAAGAGGCACCGGACGAGCATACGGCTGGATGGCACACAAATTGACCTGGGTGGCTTGTGTTTATATGATTATCATTATTGTTACTGTCATTACTATCATTACTATTCTTATTGCTACCATTACTATCACTATTATGGTTATTGTTGCTATTTTATCCTTACTTTTGTTTTAGATATCCGCCGCACCTGCCAGCCCGCCAGTTCCAGCTCGCCAGTCTCATGGCGCCATCCGCCCTCCGCCATGCGCCTTCCGTGGCCCCGGGCTTGGGATCCGACGGGAGCTCGAGTCCTGACGCGGCTCCCGCGGACTTCTTTCGCCGCGGCCCGCGGAGAAAACGGTCGGTGGCATGGAACACGTCGGCCGAAAAAGCGGCCGGTGGGTTTTTTTTTGTGCCCTCCCCAACTGCAGCAAGAAATGCAACATGCCGGCGAAACTTCACAAATCGCACGCGCCGTGCCGGTGTCGTTTTGCAAGGAACTCCTCGTCGGGGTTGCTTTGAAGGGAAACCAAAGGGAAGCCCTCATTTCAGGGATTTTTTGGAGACAAACCCTTCAAAGCCATTGGGGGGTGCACCCACTCCTGGCGGGGCCCGCAGCACAGGTCCTAGCACGTCAGACAGCACTTTTGGCCCATTCACTACTTTGGGTTCCGCCAACATGATAAAGGTTCATGGGGGGTTGATCAAAAGGTCCTTTACGTCAAATGACCATTGGGGAAAACCGAAAAGATGATATGTCCCATGGGAAAGGTCACCCCTGGTTATTTGGGCATATAGGCCTTACCAAAACGCCCACGACCCCCATGCGCCCCCAAATGAGCCATAAATCAGGATAGGTTCACGGACAAATCTTCACCCCGCCTGGCGTCAGATCGCAGAAGAGCCGTGCAGGCCGGCGCGGCGTGTAGGGCTCCTCATGCGCGTACCTCGTTTTGAGGAGTCAGAAGGCCCAGCTTCCACAAAAAACTAGTCTTAGGAAAGAACTGGGTTTGTCTCAAAATTAGGGGGCCCACCCAAAATGGGTGATGTGTGTTTTGGTGTCCTTTTAAAACAATCCACAAAGAGGAACCCGCGAAAATCGACGGACCCAACCACTGCGCAGCCCAACTGCCAAGTCCAAGTCGCCAGCATGCCTCTCCTAGCTTGCAGAAGCCTTCGCGATCAAATCTGCACCTGCGGCATAGATGTAGGCAGCGCGGTTTCGTGCGCTTTGGAAGTCATGGCTTGCGTAGCCCAAAAGCTGGCCCAGGGAACTGGCGATCTCTGGCAACCCCCCAGAAGATTACCAACAAGGCGAGCAGTTGCCAAAAAGTGGTAATTCGACTTCTTCCCTGCTGTGTCCCTTTGAGAAAAGCCCCACCCCCCCCCGTCCAAACCCATGTTCCCTCTGTAGATCATAGGGATCTTCTGAAACCCCACCCCCATCTGTTTGGATTTTGGCCCCATCCGAGTGGCTACCCAAAAAACAAAAAAACAAAGGAAGAAGGTGCCATCTCAAAAGCACACGCCCCGGCCGTCAAGCGAAGCGGTCGGGTCGGGGCCTGATCGACTCGCAGGCGAGCTGCTGCTCTTCTAAGCCATGTGCGAAGGCACAATCTTGGCGCAGGCACTTGCCCCTCCTCGCTTCGGAATGTGCGTGCTCAACATTCCTCAAATATGCTTCTATTTGGTTAAGACACCTGGAAAAAAATGTATCAAAAGATATATATGTCCAGTAATGCTAAATTCCTTCTAAAACCAACAAGGGAAAAATAATCTTAAGCAAATGGACGTATGGGTCATCAGGCTTCCTTCAATAGAAACCCTCATCGTTGTCTGAATGCACTATGAAGAAGGGGGGGTCCATGAAATCCCAAGTAGAGACATAGACGTGGAAATCGGACCGAATTTCCGCGCAATTCGAACAACTCGTGATATTCTCGGTGTGGCATCTGAATTGGCTGTCTGTCGGCCAAATACCTGCCATGACCACTGCAGCTAAGGCGCATCCAGAATTTGCAGAGAAGCCTCAGCTTTGAAGCATGACCATTCACCAATAATTTGGTGCAAACGAGCCAAAGGAACATCTGCATGAGCCATGCCGTGCAGACTTGACCTTCGCCTTTTCCTGCCGTCTTTCCCTCCCTTCCATCAGCCCAGCGTCGTCTTCAAAGGCTTCGTGCTATCATCCTCAGTAAGCTTCTGAGCCGGGCCCCGAGCCGCGTCAGACTCAAGGCCAAAGGGTTGCTTGGGACAAGCACGTCTAGCGGCTAGGTCTACCAGAGACACAACCTTAACACGCCTGCTGATGGAGTACACTGGCATGAGTGGAGATATCCGGCGCAATACCGGGTTCTGCGAAACAAAAACAAAAAACATCTATCCAAACCCACTTTGACAACAAGAGCCAACCCCCCGTCCCTTTGGTCTCCTTTTGGAACTCCTTTTGGGTTCCCTTTCAACCCGCCTCGAACGGGTACGCTCGAAAAAGACACACCCAAGTTACAGCCATGTCAAGGAGGTCCTTGGGCGAATGCCCACAGGGAGTACCGCGTTCTGCGAAAAAGAGCACCCATCTGCTCTTACCCCCGCGCACCCCCCTAGGCCCCTACTTCAATGTTGTCAAGGAGCGCTGCGACATCTGAAGCCAAAGTGGGTGTTTTCTCGGGCAGGCTTTGTTAACAAGGGGCACCTCCAACATTGAAGTTCGGGGGGGCAACTCCCTCTTCGGGTGTGATTTGAGTCATACTCAAAACCGATGAGAATTAACATGATCTACCCAGAACCATGATTCAAGAATTGAAAAGGTGGATTCTCGAACAAGTTTATGGCAAGGGGAATGTCCCTTACTAACCTTCATCTACCCGGGTTTTGACTGCGACCCATTTGGGGGTTGATCAAAAGGTCCTTTACACGGGATGACCGTTGGTTGGAAAACCCCTCAAAAGAATCTATTACTCCCATGGAAAGGTTACGCGTGGTCATCTGGAGGCCCTAAAATGGATTGTGGATCAACCCCCAGGCTGATGCGGGGAATGGGGTCATAATCTTCAACCAGTATAAAACTGGTTGAACACATCCTGGTTGCCAGGAAAGGTTGCCAGGATATGGAATGGAAAATGTTTACCAACTCATTTCTAGGCCAGGTCTCCGAGGCCCTTGAGCGCGCGCTGCTCCTGGGCTCCAGAGGGCGGCTTCCTTTGGTGTCGGGGGTTCAGTTGGGTACGTCTTTTTGGGGGGGGTCCTCGGTTTGCTTGGTTTTCTAAAAGGAAGCCACATTTGGTTTGAGGGGGTCCCCTTAAAAAAGAAAAACACGCACCCCTTTGGGTTTGTGTGATCGTACCCTGCTCACCTGTTAATGACAAAACCAACACACAAATAGGGGCCGTGGCAATTTGTCAGTGACAAGTCACAATATGTGGGCCCCTCCGATCATCCGAAACAATACAGAGAAGATTAGCATGGCCCCCTGCGCAAGGATGACATGCACAAATCGAGAAGGGTAACAAGTTGTTTGCGTCGACAATCTATCTATCTATCTATCTATCTATCTATCTATCTATCTATCTATCTATCTATCTATCTAGCCCGCACCGAGCCTGTGATGCGTGGCGTTTCCAGAGCCTTGCTTGCTGAGCCGCTCAGGTGGCTCAGGCGGCTCTTGCGGAGCGTCCAGTCCTGGCGTCGC